GGGGAACCTACACAAACAGATTGTGAAATGATGGGGGTATATATATGTTTTAAAAGATCTGTATCTTTTTACTGGTTTTACGGGAACACACTAGATAACCTATTTTGATCTCCTGAACTTAGTCATTTGAAATACTTATCTTAACTGAAAGCTCATTGTCCGTTACCCCTGAATTATCAGTAGGATCTTAGCTCAGCATAAAATCTGTAGATATCTGAACCAATAAGGAAATATATGTTTATCTGTATCTGCACGTTCTTCAGCATCATCTAGTAGTTCTGTATTACTGAGCTTTTCGAAGCTCACTCTATTACTCACCATTGCAGGTTAAAAGAATTGTACCAATGCACCTATCGATATCAATAAAGAAGTTCTTTCGGCATTGCTTGCAGAGTATGATACATGTGATTATGGGACATATAATTATATTTTGTTTTATATACGAGTCTGAAATTCTGTTTTATTTCTGCGTACTGATAAATCATTTTATAAGTTACATATTTTTATAAAAACTTTAAATTTTCCGCTATTTTTATAATGGGTCGCTCCGGTGGCCCTAATTTGACACTCCAGATCGGATCGGGTTAACCATATCGATATGAGGTGGTTACATTTAGTGGTATCAAAGCTTAGGTTTGAGTCAAAATTTTTAAGATATATCGGCCGGTCGAATTTCAAAAAGATGCCTCATCAGAAATGCCCCTAGACTACAATCGTACTTCTCTGAGCCAGAACTCTAAGGTTGAGTCCTTATCTGTAACGAGCAAACCTAAGTTTTCTATCCGTTATGACTCTACCATTTTATAAAGGAATACCAGTAAAGTCTGTCTAAATTCTGTAAAGTACCTCACGAGCCATGTGAAAGTTACTTATCCGAGAAACTCTGACTCGATTTCAGAAATGAAATAGGGATATGATACTGCTCTATGAGCATATTCTCGTAACCAAGACTGAATTGATTCCTCAAGGAAATTTTCGTTCGAATTCATTTAATGAAATGAGGAAAAGTTATGATAAGAATATATGCTCAAATGGTTAAGAATTAATAGAGTATCGGTACTTCTGTAAAAGCTACTGAAAGATATGAAAGAACTGATGGAGGGTTCATTTCTGCAATTATGTGACATGAATGAATTTCGAGGACGAATTTTTTTTAAGGATGGGAGAATTGTAACACCTCAATTTAAGGGCTAAAATTTAAGAAATTATAAAGTATTGGATTTAATTGGTATTTTGGGAAGAAAATTGAGGATTAAATTGAAAATTTTCAAAGTTGGCAAATCGTTTTATAAAGTGCATGGAATTCAGTGGTTAAACTCATATTTTAACCATTTTTATTTAATAGATAATTATAAGTCTCTTCCCCATGTATTTCTGCAAAAAAAATTCTCATTTTTCCTCTCCCTAGTCAACGACTTTGATATCCGATCTACTCACCGTCCAGCCTCTGTTTGACGAACCGAAACCACCATCGTGTTCGTGGTCGACCAATGAACAAAAACCCTCAAACCTTTCGTCGTGAATCGTCGTCATTTGTCCTTAATTTCAGTTGGAAGTATCGTCGGTTTTAACTAAATTTTCGTTGGTTTTCCGTCGATCCGACCATCCGTTTTCGACACCTCCCACACCATCGTGTTCCTCGCATCGTTGCAAGCCCATCGGTGTCCTCCATGTCTCCATCGTCGCCGGTGAGTGGAGGGTGAGAAAGTCAAAGCTTTCAATGTTTCGGAATCGAGCTCTCCACCGTTCAAAATTGTGAACCGAGCTAGGTAAGTGTCTCAAAATGCCATAAAATAATTTCTAGAAATTTTTTCGGGATTTATAAGGGCTCTGAGTACGCCGCACGAGCCTCCCCCTGCGCGTGGAGTTTGTTCTGCACCGATTAACAGAAAAAAAACTCGGGTGCTAGTTTTGAAAATATTTTTAAAATGGTTCCTAATATGTAATTAATTTTTGTTAGGGTGATATTTGTGTAAAACCATTGACTGTTGACCGTCGTTGACCATAACTTTGACCGGCATTGACCGACCATTAAACGACCGTTGACTTTTTCTGGGTATACATATCCTGATGTTTTTCGACGTCCTAAATCCAAATCTGAAGTTAGTTTCACCAAATTCGAACCCGGTAAGCTATTTTTTACTGATTTATTACCCGGTTCGATCTATTTTTTGCAATTAATCTCCTTTTCTGATGTAATTTTTGTTGATATGTATTTAAGGAATTATTGGATGTTGATTTTAAGATTGGGGCATTCGAATGGAATTTTTATGGTTGATCAGTATGACATGGAAATCGAGGTAATACATTACTATCTCTTTATGCTTTATAGAACATGTTGAAATGAAAAAATGCATGGATGTATATGATTGGACTATTATGCCTGTTTGTTTATGGATGGATTCGAATCGAATATGTTTTAAGCGATAAATTATGAGAATACTTCGATTAGGTAAAATTACGAAAATACCCTTATGTTGTAAAAAGACAAGAATTGACCATGGAAGTTGGATAAGAAGTTGTAAAAACATATTGATCTGATGAAACTAATGATGTGCATAAGAAATATTAGTTTTGCTTAGGAAATTTGAATAACCGATTTTTAACCCCAAGAGGGTTTATGCAAGATACTAGAAGTCTGTTAAGGAATCATTTCGAGATCAGAGAATGTTCGGGAAAGTAATTAACCATAGGATCTCTAAATTATGGTTATTTTTGTTAAGAGTTAATACCGAAATTATTTTGGTTAAGAAATTACGAAAATGCCCTTGAAAGGTAAAAATAGTCCAAGTTGACCCTGAATGAGAAAATATTTTGAGGATTCGTATTTAACTCGATAAATTATTGATTTAAATGTTAAGATTCTGTCTTTGTACAAAAAAATTCATGATAACCTGATTGTAACTTCTGAGAAGGCAATGGACCTGAAAATCTCCGAGTTAAGAATAATTTATCGATAGTGCTCTTTTGACAGAATTGTACAAAATGACTGAAATAAATGATAAGTTTAAATTCGATAATAAGATTGGATGGAAGGAAATGATTGTAATACACTGAATCTGTAAAATGACCAGAATACCCCTAGAATGGAAATGACCCAAGAATATCAACAAGCTCAGGAATGATTGGTTATCCTAGAGCTATGAAATAAATGGAATAAAATTAAACACCAAAATACCCTTATGGCCTAGACTAAGTAAATGTTTTGGATTAATTAAGGAATCCAAGTAAATATGGGTGTTGTACTACCGTTAAAAGTTATGGAACACAACTTAAGTGAGTTGATCAACCTTAATGATATGTCAGTACCTGATCTGCACAGATATTACTTGAATGAGTGTTCGTCTACTCAAGTTTGGATCGATGATAATTTTGGAAGTATTCAGCTCAGCTCAACTCTAGATCGCATTCAACACTGAGAATTAGATATTTGTTCGACAAATCAACCACGAAGACCGAACTAAACTGAACGAAAGTACAATATGTATATGAAATTCAGAGACATCCAAATTAATATGGAAAACTCCGAAATAACTGGAATGGACTTGACTGCTAAATAAACTAGGTAATCTCAATAACTGATGATTTAATAAGTGATTTGGATAAGTCTGGAAACTTCGATGAGTTTACATAGTGTACAATTACTATAGGTTATGAACCAAAAATCAAGTACGTCAGTATTTCATGATATCGTTGAAGTGTGGAAATGAAATAAAGACCATTGGAAGACCCATTCAGCGATGACTCCAAAGATTATATATGGACATTAATTGTTGTTATTAAAGAGTGAATATCTGAAGGACAAAGAATGAACTGGTCAACAGGTATTAGTTCTGAGAGTTGTTCAGCTTGAGTTATTTCGATAATCCGATAGATCGGTATAGACTGTAAATGTTCTGAACCTTCATTTCTTTATTATCAGCTCAAGTCTCATTCTGAATAATTGATGATTCCGTCAGTTATTGAACTCTTCCAATAATGATTCTAAATTCTGATATTCTATCAGTATACTAAAGATCCGTGTTTATCTGTCTGTCAAGATTATCCAGTATCTCTGAATAATATCTGTAAACACTAGTGTCTTCCCTAATCACATAAATTTTTTATCTGATTTCCAACTTGAATTATGTTCTGATACATGACCTGAATTTGTTCTGATTTCTGATATGGATTCTGTTAAGATATATGATCTAAATTCTGTTTTGATTTCTGATATATCCGTTTACTGACGGAGAAATGTTTTATATGGGGCGTTTATTGTAGAAGGAAGTATATATGCAGGCTTTTCGGTTGTGTGCTTAGGGTCTTACTGGTTGTGTGGGGTGTATGGTTCCGGGGAACCTACACATACAGATTGTGAAATGATGGGGGTATATATATATATATATGTTTTAAAAGATATATATCATTTTACTGGTTTTACGGGAACACACTAGATAACCTATTATGATCTCCTGAACTTATTCATCCGAAATACTTATCTGAACTGAAAGCTCATTGTCTGTTACCCCTGAATTATCAATGGGATCTCCGCTCAACATAAATCTGTAGATATCTGAACCAATAAGGAAATATATGTTTATCTGTATCTGCACGTTCTTTAGCATCATATGGTAGTTCTGTATTACTAAGTTTTCCGAAGCTCATTCTATTACTCACCATAGCAGGTTAAAAGAATTGTACCAGTACACCTATCGACATCAATAAAGAAGTTCTCCCGGCGTTGCTTGCAGAGTATGATACATGTGATTAGGGGGCATGTAATTGTATTTTGTTTTATATACGAGTCTGAAAATCTGATTTATTTCTATGTACTGATAAATCATTTTATAAGTTACATGTTTTAATAAAAGTTTTAAATTTTCCTCTATTTTTACAGTGGGTCGCTCCGGTGGCCCTAATGTGACACTCCAGATCGGATCGGGTTAACCGCATCGGTCTGAAGGGGTTACAAGTTTCCTCTAGCAAACATGCCACTGGGAGTTGTTTCTTCACATATTTCACGTGTAAAGCTCTGCCTTGGGACTGAAGATACCCATCATCTCTTTTGCGCTGTAGACTGTTACGATAATTCTTTGTTCGTGAAGAACATAATCTTTCAAATGAGCAAGATAGATAGTGTTTTGGATTAACGGATTACCTTTAACACCGGTTTTCCATATGGTGATAGTGTACTTGAGACCAGATACGAGGTTGTTGCTCACTCGGAATGTGAATTGCAGGTTGTACTTGCTACCTTCTTTTAAGGTAAACCATAAACCTTTGGGGCTTTCCTTCTCCGGGATCGAAAATAGTATATCCGGTCGACCGGGCGCAAGGCTCGGGATCTTAACATCAGATTCCAGATTTTCTGTACCATCAAAAGACAATAGAAGATAATGTCAGGATACACAAATTGATCTTGCATTATGTTCTTAGCTATGCTGGGCCTAGAACCAAGGCAGACTGAAACCGGAGGATCTCGTCAGTGGACAAACATGGTGAATTCCCGACGCTCACTAATGAACACCTAGACCCTCAGATGCTCGTTGGTTGCATCGGGATCGATGTCAGATCTCTCACACGACAACTTACCTATTAATCATATCTCGAACCATGTGTTGAGGTGACTCTCCCACACAAGAGACTTGTATTGTATGGTGAGGGCTCGACCATGAAATGTATAAATGAAAGAGAAGACAGAAGGTGTAAGAGAACTCAAACCTCCAATGGACATGAAAACCAGAGTCCCAAGAAGTTGTTCTTTTCAGCTCATCAAGCTCTCATCTTCTTGAAAATCTTCAAATTCCACCAGAAACCAGACAACATAAGACATTAAAAATGTTTCAAAGAAAAGAAACTGAATGAGAGAAACTAAAATAAACCTTATCCTTTTCGAGTTGTTCAAGGGTGCGCCGAGGGCCTAACACGAGCTTCCTCCCTTCACCATTATCATCATCATCAACAACAACTTCAGTTAGACAAAGAGAACTCTCGGCTTCATTTGTATAGATTTTAGGGTGATGTTCTTCGAGGTTACCTTCATTCGAAGCCATTTTCGTCTCGGAAACTTCCCTATCATCTCTCCCTTCCTCGTCAAACCCCATCTTCCAGGAACCTAAATCATCACCAAACACCAAAGACAAGGGTTTCAAATCGCGGTCGCGGTCGCGTTTTCGGTTATTTCGGATTTACCGTTGCAGACGCTATTGCGGCCGTCGCGGGTAACTCAGACGGCGGCGAAACTACTATATCGCGGCCGAAATCGCGGTCGCGGACCGTTTTTTAAAACCCTACCAAAGACATTAAGAAAAAAATGAAAAAATAGGATTGAAAGATGTTATTTTGGGGTCAAAAGAATCCCAGAAAAGTAAAAAAGAGAAACCATATATCAAGAAAAAAACACCAAGAATCGGGGGTATGATTGATGCCTTGTTCACCCTTTTATTGTCGTTGTAATGATTGAAGAGAAGGCAAAAAGAAAAGAGAAAAGATGTTGGTTCAACTTCTTGCCGAAAATGGTCATCTTTGGTCCAACCACTACCACCACCAACATATTCTCTTGAACATTTGATTATTAATACTATAGACTCGTCTCTCATAAATGTTTGCATTACCACTAATGTTAGTCTCTTCATTGTCAACTACTCAAGCACATAAATAATGTGTATTAATTCAACCATTTGATAGTTAGAACTAGTACATGAAATATTAAGATTCTCACTTGTCAAGGTTAATTCAACTTATTCTTAATTGAATGTTTCATCAAGATTCGAACAAAAAAATTTCAGAAGTCAACGTTTGAGTCAGACTATTGGACTAATTTTCTCATATTGAATCATTGATAATGGTAGGTCTTCACAATTATTTTAGATAAGTTACGTTTGTCAATGTTATCATCATTATGTTTACTTATTTTTGTTAGTGTTAACGGAGAATGGAGACAATGATAGCAGTGATTGCATGCAGGTCATTGCTTTGCCACCGTCCTACTCGCATCTCACTCCACTCCATTTGCCATTACCAACTCATTTCTGTGTTGATTTATACCTTACAAACCATCCCTAAGAATACTTTACTACTAGACAATGCTGTAATATCTCAAAAGAGCCAACACCAAAAGAGGAGCCGGCAGCTGCACCTGTAGCAGCCGATCCGGTTGCAACATCAGATGCTCCGCCAGCTGTGGAGAGTGCAGCTCCCGAAGCCGAAGTCGATGCCAAGGAAGTCGTAGAAGAAGAAATCAAGGTTGAAGAGGAAGCAAAGCAAGGAGTAGCAACGAAGGAGGACAAAGTAGAGACTACATGATCAGCAGATACTGCAGCGGCGGAGGAGGAGAAGCCGACTGAGGAAAAGAGGGATGAAAAAGCTTAAGTCCCTGTAGAGAATGAAAGTTGAGGAATAGAGAGACCACATACACAAAAGGTGGCATAGCTCAAAAGGAGCTTCATTTTCATAGCTTAGTTTGTATAGTCATTATTATCATTTATAATAACTAAGCAGGATTTGGGATGATGGTGGTTTTCTTGCTATTATTTTTCTTTATTTGGGGTTTGATACTGGTATTAAACATGTCGTACAAATTGGCATGCTAGGGGAAGAGACTACAGGTTTTACGTATTAAGTTGTATGGTTGTATGCATGTATATGTTTTGGTTCCAAGAAAGTTACGATGACGAGTTTGATATTTGGGGTGATGAGATGAGTACCTCTATATTTGCATAATAAAGGCATATTTTTGGTTTAATCACTGCCTCTTAATTTTTTTAAGAATTAATTGCACTAAATGTCCTCAAACTATGATCCATATTCTAAATTGATCCATAAACTTTTGAACATTCCAATTTCATCCTTAAACTATGACCCTCATTCTATATCAATCCTCAAACTTTTGAACAATTTTGGGAGATATTATAGATACATTCAAGAGTTTGGAGACCAATTTAAAACAATAGTAATAGCTCGGGGATGAATTTTAAGATGTTCAAAAGATCAAATGAGGACAGTTTGAAGATGAAATTGAAATGTTTAAAAAGACCAATTCAAAATGAAGATGAAAGTGATCAATCCTTCCAGTCTTGCCCCCCGCCTTATTCATGCAATGCCATAAACCTATACAATATAGTTGTTCCAAAGAAAGGAAGAAAGAGAAGCAATGACATCTCAAGAAGGAATGACAATTTAACTACTTGACCTTCTTACATAGTCTAATGGCAAAGCGGATGACAATTATCCTACGAACCTGTACAGAGCTGAGTACCAATGTTTATGTATGTCAAAAACCCTTTTTTACACCCCAAATGCAAATGTACTCATGTTTTTACTACCAGTTACCGAAGCTGCAGCCGACATGTTCCTGAGTAATGAAATAAAGTCGTTTTTGCATTTCAGCCTTGGAGGGATACGGCGGGAAACACAACCGGTAAAAGCAGGTATGAGAAGAAGGGAGACGCTCATGGGGCTCCGAGGACTTGTAAACATAGAGCTGAGAGGCTAAACCACGGAAACCTTCAACTGGAAGATGCTTCAAGGAGGTCCAGAAGAAAAGAAGTACCTTTCTTTGCTCTGCTGACATTTCCCTAACAATCTGCAATATTGTTGGAAAAAAAAGTGAATTATCAGGTGGAAATTCGAAAGGCGTATAGGATGAGTATAGCCCAAATAATCTGATACAACTAATTATGCATTCTCCAAGCAGACAAAAGCTAAATACTAAAACAATAATCAACCAATAATTCCATCATCGTCAGGAACATTTTTCCATGGCAGAAGAATCATGCACCATCTACTTCTTGAGGTTTGGCTCATAAACATAGAGAGCATTGCGGTTTTGCAATCACTATTCTAGATCAGTTCAGAGTTTTATATACAAGATGTAAGAAACTACTGGCAGTATGCATACCCAGATTATGATTTACGAGAAATCAAGCCATCAAAGAGGCAGTGCAGAAGTGATGAGTGGGGATGCAATTTTCTAACTAGTAGTGGTACCGTAGCTGACAATGCCTTTCATTTAAAATATATTCACCCTTGTTCCACAGAATCCCTGTTTTTAAAGCAAGACTACAAATATGTGATAAGGAGCATATAAATATATATATACATCAAGACCTTAGCATGATTTAAATACAATCATGTGTGCTCTAAAATATAATCATCATTGTTCCATGAATCCCTGTTCTTCAAACCAGACTACGAATGTGGCAAGGAGCATGCAAAACAAATAGAAAGAAATAGATTCTCTTCTCTTCTATTTTTTATTGAAAAAAAAAGGATATCAAGACCTTAGCATGATTTCAATAATATCTTGTGTCCCATACCTCCCAAAACCAGGTTATTTGAGGATCATTTTCTGTGTAGCCGTTGTACTCGGTATGTGCCTTCCAGTCTTCAACACAAATGGGACTTTCACTTCCATATAGCATCCAATCAAGGTCCTCGAGCTCTAAACTTTGGAAAAAGAGCTTCTGGAGCCTTGAGTTAGAAAGAATATGGCCAAAACCTTGGGAAAATTGGTCTACCTGTTCAGAAATAGATGTTACAAAGCGATCCCGAATAAGAAGATTAACATATTCCTGCCTATTCTTGCTATTTACAACAAGGTTTTTCCCACCATCACAAAGCTCAACAAGTCTCCTGGATCCCAACTCCTCAACTTCTCTGACAAATGTCAGTCCTAAAACATCTGAATCAATAAAATCAGCATCCATCTCTAGAATCTGCTTGCAGCTGCTATACAAGCATGGATCTGCCTCTCGTATATCTTCCACTGATATATGCATTCCAGCCAGTTGTCGGAAAAATACACGATCGAAGACGACACCTACTTGCACTTTATGCATCAATGCTAATGCAATCACACGGCCAGCAAATCTGAAATACTCAAGGTGCAAAGGATCCACCCTAGATGCTGCATAAAGAAGAAAACACATAAGCAACATATACCCCAGCAGGGGTACAAAAAGAAGGAAAACCACATAACTCATAACGTATAATACATTTTTTTCAGACAAGGTAATAAAATCAGGATCTAAATAAAGGGAAAGATAAAGAACCAAATGATAATATTTATTAGATGTAGCAGTGTAATAATCTTGACACCATTACAACCAATAATCTAGTAATCCAAATGATAATAATCATGCCTAAACTCATAACAACTCCTAGGATATTTATAATAAATAGTCTTGACTATTATTTGCTGAAAAACAAAGCTAAATTAGGGGATAATGAATAACATAAAAAAGCTGAAGTTATGGAAACATGGAAGACATGCAAGTGGTTAAGGTAAGACTTGAAACTCCTCCTTATCCTCATATAGATCATGTGAATTGTTTAGGCCAAGTAGTTGAGAAAGTTGGACTTGGTCTTCGACTATCTGCTCCTTATAGTGTGATTTGATATATACTTGAAAGGAAAAGGAAAGGAAAAAGAATATTGCCACTCAATAACAGCTTGCTAAATAACTGATTTGATGACCTAATGATTTTAGTTTAACAAAAATATGTCCAGACCAGATCAGGATTTCTCTGGTTTATTCTAAAATCAATTTAGTATCATTAAAAAATTTGAAATTTAAACCTTAACATTTGTAATCTTAGGTTATGAATATCAAAATATTTTCTTATGAAGTAGTTCAAGTAATGATAAACAAGAAATTAAACAATGCAAGCTCAAGGATGGAAAGCTATATTTTATCGTTGATAATAAAAGGGCATTGCATGAGAAGTGACTTAAGTGGAAATTTAGAGGCAATGAGCATATTGAAGTAGATGGCATCTCGATATGAGACACAAGTCTCATGGAACATGTATAACCGGGTATTTGATAATGATTTGAACATAGGTATGTTAAAGTAGATGTCTCTGAAATTCTTGAAGGAGATTATCAATAGGATGGGGCGAAGAAGTATTCAGTCCTTCCAACGAGAAGAACGAGGTCATTTAGTAGCGGCAAAAATCATGTAATTTTGACGTGAATGGAATTGAGTGGGAAAAGATTAGCGAAAGCTTGTTGAGGACTGCTAGAAGCTCATCAACTTCTTCGGTTTCAATGTCTTCAGCCTCCTCAGGAGGCGCTCTTCCATAATGGAATACGCAAGCGCAAGTATGAGAAGAGTGAGTTAAGCGCTCACTTGATCAGGGGAAACCCTAGTGTGCCTAGATGTGCTTTTTTATAAGGCAGTAGGCATATAAAAGCCTGCCAAAAGCCTGCCTGATTGAAGTTCTTGTTAATTTCTTTTACGTTTCACATTTTACATTAGATAGACATTTACAAGTAAGAAAGGGTAGTATCAAAGTCTACAGTAATCAATATTTCAGCATTCAACAACTAAGCATTAGCCAAAAGGAAATCATGCATATTGACAGACAAAATTGCATGTTTTGTAGATAAACTAGACCACACTTTACAGTTTATTATACACACACGCACATATATATATATAGACACATACATAAAATTCTAGATATGCATATTGTGTTTTACTGCTGCTGCTGGAGCTTTAATTATTATTTTTTAGTAATATTTATTACTTATAATTTATAAGAAGTTAAGGATGGCTAAGATTATAAGATATCTTAGGGTTTCAATCTAAGGCTAAGACTATTACTTATCTTTAAGCCTTAAGGTTTAAATCTAGGGCTAGGACAGTAACTTTATAGTTAACCCTAGTATAAATAAGTAGTAAAATATTTACAGCCACAGTTTTCATATTATTTTCCTTAATTAATCGAAAGAAACTAGAAGTTATTATAAACCTACGTTTCCAAAAGTTCCATCTTCTTTCTTACTTGTTTGCTCAGCCTCAGCCCTAATTCTATTTATTCACCGTTGTTTTCCCTTTAAACATATCAACTTCACTTAGGCAAGTGCTATTTTTACGCCTTGCAAGTAAGGCAATAGAAGGGTTTTAGATCCTAGAGTGCACCTTATACCCTTGACAATACTGTTTACACCAAACGGCTAAAAAACACAAATTTTATACAAATCTAACAACTGCATTTGTGGCATTAACTATTACTTGTAATTATTTCATCTTTCACAATAAGCTTTGAGAAAAAACCCATATCTCTTGCACAACAAGGACACAGAAATATATTATCTTGAGGCAGGATGGCAAGTAAAAGAAGTTTAGAATTTCAGAGGAATCTTACCAGGATTAGGAAAAAATCTTCTACAATCATTTGAGCAAGGCACAAAAAGGGCATTCTCTGGATTAAATATAGCCTGGCATACCAAGAAAAACCACTCCCTCAGTACGCCAGGGCCAGTAGCTTCTTCGTTTTTAAATTCCATGAATATGCCAGCATGCAGTGATTCAGGGTCAGCACGAGCAATGTACTCGAATGATTCTGACAATAACTGAGACCTGTCAATGAGCATCTCATGCAATTCCTCGTAATCTTCTTTTACTTCAGGAAACATCATCATGGCCAAATGCCTCCTGGATTCAAAATCAGTGGCATCCTTGTGCTCAAGTAGCCACAGGTTATCATCATTTCGCTTTGCAATCCTAATAATTAAGGCACACAACGAAGATTTACTATTCCTCAAAACCATCCAAAACTGCTCTTCAGCACCCAGATAAAGTTTTGAGATTCCATTCAGTTCCTTTAAAATGGCAAGATACTGAGACCACCACTCTGTATGAAGAAATTCACCTTCACTGCTTCCACTTGCAGCAAGGCTTTCCCCCACTCTGATAAGACATCTTTCCATTTTAGCCAACAAATCACTAAATACAGCATGAAGAAACTCCATTGCCTCCCCATAGGGAGGATTGCTGAGATCCTTCTTTTGCCACTCAACTGATATGGGAATCCGGTACCCCACTCGCTCAAGAATGGTTGACCGCAAAGGGTTCAAGAATGCTGTGAAATCCCTCACGTCACTCAACAACGGTCCCCCACTAGAATGCACACTAGATTCCAAGTCCCTAGATAGCTTATCAGCCAACTCACTAACAAAAGGGATGATGTCTTGCAAGGCAATCAACCCTTTAACCTCTGACAGCATTAAACCCCTGGAAGTACCAACACTTTCCAACAACACCCCAAGTGCACCCCGGCACGACTCATACAAATTATCCTCATTAACGAACTTCCTTAGTAACTTGCAGAACTCTAACACTATGGGTGCACAATAAGAATGCAAATGCTTTGATAATACACTCCTACATGAAGTTAAGAAATGTCTTATTGAAGCATCAGCACACTGCTTATTACTATTAATCGGAGACATATAAAGCATTACCAATGCAGCAGGAGCCGAAGAAGCCATAAATATCTGCAAGTGAGCGGTAGCCGAGTCGTTATTGTCCTTTGGAGTAATAGTAAAAAAGTTGATCAAGCAGTCTTTGATACGTTTCGTCGAGGAAGGGACTGCTTCTCCTCGGCAAAGGCGGCAAATCAGGGAGATCATATCATCCATTACCTGCCAGGTTTGCGGGTGATCAGTCGACCGCATACGACCGACCAGTTGTAGTCCGGCGTCATTTTGGATGGCGCAATCAGCTAGGGTTTGCTCCCACTGGAGCTGTTTCCCGCCATAAATTAACCGCTGCTCGATCACCGGAATTCCTGTCATAACCTGAATCCTCTGGTGAAGGGATTTCACAGTGTCCTCCGAATTAGACTGGACGACAATGGTTTTACCTTCTGAGATCATCCGGACGAAGAATTGAAGGCGGGAAGAGGAACACCCGGCAGACGAGGAAGAGGCAACATCGGAGGAGGAAGAAGGGCGGGAATCGACGAAGGAGGCGGAGGAGAAAGAAGAAGCCGGCGCTTTAGACGAGTGATGAACGGCTGTGATTAGGTGCGCGCCTTGATGGGTATGATCGTCTTTTCGCATCCTGACGGGGACTAAAGTACCCTCCCCATCGTCTTCCTGGTCGTCATCGAAAGCAAAGGCGTAATCGTCGAACTTACGTTTAGAAGAAAGACGGTGGTAATCGTAGCCGTTGGGGAGTTCATCAACGGCGGTGGATTGGAATAGAGACATTGGACGGTGGAAGCCCCCAGCCTGCTACGGTGGGGGAGAACATATAAAGTAGAAATATATAATATAAACAATTAAAAAAAACTGTTCTAGCCAAAAGAGAGAGAAAATTGAAAAATTGAAAAACCCTTAATGGCTTTGTGAAGAGAGTGAAAGGAGGAAATTAAAAAGGAAAGAAATTGAATGTCGATGATCGTCTCCCTCCTCGCCTATAACACTTTGCTTACAAACAGCCGTCATCGCCTAAGCTGCAGAGCTGTAACTTTACGCTATCCTTATTATTTTTAATTTAAATTAACTTTTAAGTAAATTACAAATTTAACAATTAAATTATTTTATCACTCTTATTTTATTCACTGTATTTTAAAAAAATTCCATTTATCACTTGATTTTATATTTTGATTTTTTTTGGTCATTCTATTGTTTTCTCCATGACTGTATGATGATATGATATTTTTATTATTTTTTATTATTAATTAATATTTTATATATATATTTTATTATTCCACCTATATGTCGCTTTTTTATTATTTTTAATTAATATTATTTATATATTTTTAGCAGTGGAGCTGCTACAGTTGTAGCGACGTTGCTAATGTTAGAGGAGTTGGTTTCACGCTAAAAAATTCATTTCCCTCACATTTTTTAATGATTCTCTTTTTTCCTGACATGGAATTTTAATAATTTAAAAATCATTTAATTAATGCGGTTATAAATTAACAGTGGAGCGATAAAAAACTAATATACAAAATTAAGTGATTAAATTATAAAATTTTATAAGTATGGTGAGTAAAATATGAGTAATAAGATAATTAAGTTGCTAAATTTGTAATTTACCCTTTATTTTTCTGTTTTATTTTTATATAATTACCAAAATAGTATTGCTGGAAGTTATCCGATGCTGGCGGTCGCCCCACTATTCATGGTATGGTGGTGAACCTGATGGTAAGTAGTGTGGGTGTATGGTCCAATGTGAATTAACAAAATTAATTTCGATATTTTTCCCTAAATATATATTAATTTTTAATTAATTAAAGATTATTCTTAATCAGTGTATAATGATTTACACATACAATTTCATATATGAAATATTTATTAATTATTAATATATTTTAGAAGTTGAAAATTTTATTATTCATGGAGTTTTTAAAATAAAATTATTAAAAATAACATATACACGGTTAATTATGAGAAAAATGATGTAATAAAAAATCATGGTTAACTGTTAAAATAAATATTTTTTTATTAATATGGGTAAGTACAAGAAAATATCTATTGAAAGATAATTTTACCGTTTGATATTAAACGTTCATATCATTGATATTCATAGTTTTCAAACGTATAACCTCAATGAATAATAACAATTATTTTACTATTGAAATTGTTTGGTTAAAAAATAATAATTTATAAAATTAATAAGTAGATAATTTATATAAAATTAATAATATTATTATTCTATTGTTAAAATAAATATGTTTTATAAAGTTAATATATTATTATTCTATTATTAACTTGTAGATAATTTATAATATGAAGAGTTTTATTAAAGTATTGGATAAAGTACATTGTAATTCTAGGATATTATTTTGTTAATTTTCTCAATTAAAAACTATAAATTGATTACATGATTATAAAATGTTACTTTATCGAGTCTCTTAACTATTAAAAGTTATAAAATAATCATTTAACTATTCATATATTTCAAGCTCATCCTTTTCTATTAAAAAATTAACGACCTTATGAGTTGGACATTAACATGTTGACTGGGATTAATGATGGGCATGGGTCGGGTCGGGTCGAATTTTCTGTCAACTTGACCCGACCCAAAATAATACGTTTATTAAAAATATTATTTTTATTCAATAAAAATAGGGATTTAGTTGAAAAAATACATAGAGGGGCATTATTATAATTATCCATAAATATAAAGGTAAAATCATATGTTTTTCTCATGTCGGGTCGGGTCGGTATTTTTCACCATAAACTTGAATCCAACCCGATACGAACACAACTTCTAAAAAACCAACCTGACCCAACTCGAGCCCAATTTTTTTTTTAAAAAATATGACATGATCGAGTCTGAACCCATCGGATAAGGGTCTCATGCACATTCCTAACTGAGATATGATAAAACACGATCTCAAAACTGTTTGAGGTGTATTTTGTAGATCGAATCTTTATTTACATTATGTCGTCGAGCAAATGTTTGAAAGTAACAACGATGTCAATAGACATCATTAAAATATATGTTTACCATATCTAAGTCAAAAGATTAACATCGATTTTTTAACAAATAATGACGAGTTTAAAATATATGAATAGTCATGTGACCATTTCGTAACTTTTAATAGTATGAGACTCAACAAAGTAACGTCCTATAATTGAGAAATCATTTTGTAACCTTTAATAGTCGACGGATTCAACAAAGCAACATCCTATAATCACGGATCATTTGTGTACTTTATCCTAACATTTTTTATTCTTTAGGAGTCTTTCTAAAAACAATTGTATTGAAAACAAAGAAGCTGGTCATATAAAGTATAGGAAAATTTATTTCTTCAACTAGAGTATTTGTTACGGCAAATGATAATAAATGTTTGAACCACACGATAACTTTTTAAAGATGTTTGGATCACTCGACAATTTTAAAAAATAAGATGTCTTCTAAGGCTTTATGAATAATTGACGACGTTCTAAAAATCATAAAACAATTTAAATATTTTTTAAAATTTATTGTGTATTTCATACGAATTCCATAAATCATCGTTGAGCTCATACACCTACTTTTTTGTTTTTGGTTATCCTTTAAGTTCCAAAACTTCGTTTTGAATAATCTGGATCGACCCACTTCACACATATGACTTTGATGGATACATAGATACAACTTCTACCTGATATTGTAACAAACATCTTAATAAAAAATAATAATTTTTATATACCTTATATAGCCATTTTCTTTCTTACACATTATTGAATCAATTCTACATTGGGCTATTGGAATTCATTTCCCACCTACGTCCTCTTCATACCTTTTTTTGGACTCACTCGGGCAGCAAGTTTATGACTTTAATAGTCTTTCATATATACGAGCATGTACATTTGGTTTAGTTTTATTATACATCCTTAAATTATAATCTAAATTTTAAATTAATCTTAAAAGTTTATAGCATTAAAATTAAATATTTAAAATATTATTATCATATCAATCAAATCTCTTATTAATTTTGAATGAAATGTAATCTTAAATCTAATATGAAGCATGTCACATGTACCTATTAGACGAACCTGTCATAAATATGTATCAATAATTTGATTATTGTATTTCCAAAATACTCCGAAGTTTAAAATATAAAATGTGAGAAATATAAGTCACCAAATAGATAGTTTGCCCTTTTATGTATAAAAGTAATTACTTGCCGGCTTTGTTGCAGTTTCCTAGTTACCCTAAACCGCGTGAATTGAATTCAGGAATTACTTTTTAGGCATAATACCATAATTAACCTCAAATTTTATTAAAATAATTATTTTAACCCTTCATTTTCTTATAATATTTTCACCAACATTTTATTTTAGGATAAAAAGATTCCTAACATTCGATCGAATAGTTATTTTAACTCTTATTATTTTTTCTAAAATATTTTAACTCTCAACATTTATTTTACGGTAAAAATATTATTATTTTAAAATGTTAATTGTTTGTTAACTAATAATTAGAAAGAAAAAAACTATGAGAAAGACATGTTTTACTCCGAAATAAATTTGGTCTTTAAAATGCTATAAACTATAAAATTTGAAGGAAATATGATTTAATTTACAAATTTTACAATTGAATGTTCTTAAAAACTAATTAAACCAGCAAAATTAAAGGTGAAGACATAATTTTATTTTAAAACTAAATGGGTCTTTAAAATAACTAAATGGGTCTTTAAAAATAATTAACCATCACAGTTTGGGAGGGACAATTGCCCCTCCCACCTACAATGTAAGTTCATCCCTTTTAACAGTTTCAACAAATAAAACGTAAAGGGCCAAAACGTTGGAAACCTGCTTTTTAGTTCCTATTATTATTCTTGGATGATGGGACGACTTGGTCACGGCCTACTTTGTCCCATCCCATTCCTCAATTACTCATATTAACACAGTAAATTTTTATAACAGACGAGCATCTTTATATATTAATCAAAGGTTTATTGTTTCTCAAACAATTCTTCTGTTTTAAACAACAGCACTTCACCGAAAAGAACCAGCAACACAACTATGTTGCAGAAACCTGGGAGACAGAGAGACGCTAAGAGAATTGGAATTCAAATCTTGTCTCTTCCAAAAGCGTTTCACCACTTCAACGTCTACGAAGCAGTTGAATCTACAAGGAGGCATACTGAGGCGTGCCAAGTGCACATTCATCAGTGTTTTTGAATCACCTTCGGAGACAGTAAGAGAATGACGGACTTTTAGTTAACTTCAGTACATTCCACTCCGAAAGACCTGTGCAACATCCTGATTGATATTTAGAGCTAGTTAGAGTTGACGAGGTTCAAGGAGAATGCTTAAACCATTATCATATTAATTCAACTACGAAAACCGCCAGAAACTGAAGTTTTCTATGCAACTATGAGATGCATCACGCAGAAGAAAGAACCCTTGAACTCATATTGTTGATAGTTACAACAGAAGAGCACTTCATTTTTCACAATGAGTTTAAAGAAAAGGCGTTTGCTTGCAAGCACATCAACAGCCAGACTGAAACTAGGGATAAAATATTGCATCACAAAAACTATTAAATCAGCTTGTCTTCAAAGATTTTGTTGAAAAAGATGCATAAAGGTAAATCAGCTTGATAGAGAAGAAAATTATAAATTATAAATCAACTGGTTTGCATGGAGACCTCTATGTTTCAATAAAGTTGATGCATAACTTACTCAATTGCTCTCTTATGACAACTTCAGCCGGGAAGCTGAGACAAAAAATCCTACAGAAACTCGTGCTCTTCAGTTATCTTTACTAAACAATCTTGATTCCGACAACAAACATAAAGCAAACATGTAACAGTCCAGAACTAAGTTCAATTCAACCAACAGTGCCGAAATCATTGTACCTTTTCTACTACTACTTACCTTTTACCTACTTTTTTCACTTCACTATAACACTAACTTGAACCCTTCCGATAGGAAACCATCCCTGAAACCCCAGAAAAGATCCATTAGACTAAGTTGCACCAAAGTAATCATAATGCCATTAACATACAACAGCTTGCATAATGAGGCACAATTTGTCCATACTTTAGCATGCAATGCCAATGATAAAGTCTCACCGCCTAGTAATCGTAATGTATTTATATAGAACTAGTTGCATAATGAGGCACTATTTGTCTATACTTTAGCATGTTAGTGCCAATGGCATATTTTTTTTAGATTCAAACCAACAACGTTCATAGTTTTCACAAAACAGCATCATGTAAAACAAGAAACTTAGATACGTTAGAGTTACTTACATCTTCTTGATATCTCCATCGTCCTTTCCGTTCTGCTGCCTTTTGTCGACATTAAGCAAAACAAGGCTTTGCAAGCAAACCTCAGTTTCATAAGAAAGGGGCATACCAGGGACCCAGACATCATCAGCTTTCCGCTTCACCAAATCATACCAAAAAAGATTTATGTTATCATGTTCCAACAAAACTTGATTACCACTCCTAGAGTAAGCCAGAGGCTTCAAAAACCTCAAAGGACCAATCACGTCTTCTCTATCAAGAGAAAATAGAATAGTCCAAGACTCCTTAACCCTATATTCCTTCATCACCCAAACATCAACTCGAGCATCACCATGATTAGCTACCACACATAAACATCCCCCCAAAACCTCAACATTCAATTGAAATATATCATCTACGTACTCAGGTTGAGGCACTACATTATAACTTTCAGCAGCTAAATCCAAAGCAACGATCATATTTGTCACGAAAAGATCAACCTTTTGAGTCAGAACCCAGTGTAAAGCACCCCCAGCAAAGACCCCATTAGCACTTGGAAACGAAGAAACACAAGGGATATCTTGAATTTTTCTCCACCTGTTTCTCTTCAAGCTGAAAACTTTAACCTCTGTTTCTAAAGGCTTATCACCGTCAGCCCTCTCAAGCTGAATGATTTTAACCACTTTGTAATCATCTTTAATCGGGTCGTGCCCGAATCCGCAAACGTAGCCCTTGCAAGATCCGAGGTAAGGTAAGACTAGGTACTTTCTAGTGGAAGGGTTCCAAATAGCCATGTCTTCGACTATGTTACGGATGCAAAGCAAACCGTTGCAAGAACCCAAGATCTCGACGCCGTGGTTGTAACTCATCAAAGGGTGTTCGAGCTTGGCGAAAGGGCTGAGGGAAGAGAGATCGGCGGCGTGGAGATCGGTGTTTTTGAGGATCAGAGTGTGGTTTATGCGGGTCCTGAGGGAGCGGCTGAGGTGGAGGTTGATGAAATCAGGATCGTCGATCAAAGATCGCCATAGCTTCGAGACGGATCGTAAGCGTAGAAGATGCTTAACAGGTAATCGGCTGAGGATGTCGGCGATTAAGTCGTGTGAGACCATCGTTTCCTTTATTTCGGCACCGATTCCAAAGAGTCAAGAGACTGGTAGAAATGAAAGGAAAGGGATAATGATTCTTTTTTCTGCCCCAATTTACATGGTGATAATTAAGGTGGCATTTTAGCTTTTTATGGTCTAATTGTAGATAGTCCCGTCATTTTTTTTAATTTTAACAAATTTAGTCTTCTAATATTATTTTATCAAAAATTATCTTGTAATTTTCGAAATACTCTAACACATAAATACAGTTGAACATCGTAAATCTTTATGTTTGTGTAATTTTTTTTTATCGTAAATAAATATTATTTTTAGAGGTCTTAAATTTAAGTAGTTATATTTGTAAGATGTATACACATTATTAACAATTAAAAAAATTAAACATATATTACTTTATAATTACCTTTAATTATTTAAAAAACATTTTATTAAAATATTGTTTTTGTTCTTCTTTAAAGTAAGCAAAGAAATTTTAAAAATACAATTTTTTGCCGTACCTCTTCTGAATCTCCTCTATATAATAATACTTTATAATTTTTCTATGATAGAAGTCTCGAAAAAATATCTCCAAAGGACATGCTCTTAAAAGTCTGACGTCTCTCAAAAAGTCATGACCTCTAACATGTTTATGTAACTTAGCACAGTTAAATGTACACTATGACGATCATATCTTTGAAAACTACACTCTACGAGTAGTCATATAATTATATGTTTAACTTCAATTTTAATTATCACTATAAAATATTCTGATTAAGATAAAATATTTAAACATCGATCAACCATAAAAAAACATCGATTTTTTACCTAAATTAAAATGAATAAACAATCCACTTATTTTTATCAACAATGTCATATTAAAATAATTTTAATAACATATACTTAATAATATATAATTTCATTCAAAATCCCTATTTTTTCCTCCTTTTTCTTGTGTTGTCCTCAATCTTTTTTCTTCTTCATCTTTGGAACCAACAGCGAAATTAATCTTAGTATTGATTGTCGACTGTCGATATTTATGGTCTTTCTTTATTTTATAATGTCGTATTATTTTTTTTCTTATTTTTAATTTTAATAACTATATCTTTATGACACATTTTCTTCTGTCTTTATAGCACATTTCATTTGTCTTTTGGCATGTTTTCAGTCATTTGATCGTTATTTTCGTTTATCCTTTTATTTGGGGTTGGATTTGATATCGTTACGTCTGATCAAGATGGAGTTGATTTGTTATTATGGTGATCTTCCCTATTTTGGACTCTTAGATCGGATTTGGATAAGTGTTTTGCATTCATGGGTAGTTTTCTCACTTCGCTCGATTCTGATTTGTGATTTGTTGGTGATCTTTTAATAGTTTGATTCCCTTTTGTGATTCATTTATCTATGTAATCAGATATGCTCATTCTACCTTTTATTATAGTTTATTTGGTTATGTTTTTAACATTTTCCTTATATGATCCTTATGCAATATTAGGTTGCTAGTTTATTGTGTTAATGATTATAAAAAAATATTTTAATTACATATTCCAGTTTACGGTTATAACCGTAAACATTCATTATAATTTAGATTTTTTTAATTTTTTAATAAAACTATCAAATTTTATCCTGTAAAAAAACTACACTCATGATATAATTAAACATTCATAAAATTTTTACATCCACCATATTTGTAATATACCTTAAAATAAAACAAAACAATAAAAGAAAACGAAGAGCAACAAAAGCTTAAACGTCTCTCATCCATCAAAAATCCAATGGGTCTGCAATCCCTTCAATGAAAACATCATCCGCCAGTTGTTGAACTTTCAACAGCACATGGGCTGCTTGAAATTAGCAGCAAGCAGCCAGCTGCTTGAAAAAAAAAATGGGGCTGCAAAATTTTTTATTATTTTGTAATAGGGATAATTATAAAATTGAGTTATTGAACTTTAGGGTATTTTCAAAGATTAGTCCCTAAGCTTCAACTATAAATACCCTAGTTCATTTAGGTTCAAAATTATCCCAAATCATTTCTTTCTCCCAATACTATAGAGTTTTCTTGTGAGTAATAAGTGTTTTGTAAACACCTGTAAATTTTCTCTCTTAGTAAAAGATTTGCAGCAGTCCGGAGACGTAGGCAAAATTGGTTGAACTCCGTTATCAATTTCAGGTATTATTTTTTCGCTTTTATTTCGCTTTCTCACTAATATGGTTATAGGGAAATTACTCGTACTTGTTTACTTCTCTACAACTGGTAATCAGAGCTTTTGGTTGTGAATTTTGTCAAGTTTTTTGTGAGGTTACTATTTATATGAATAGTAAATTTCGTGAATAGTAAAAATTTTGTCGACGATAAGAGTTTGTCGACGAAGGTGTTATAATACACGGTAGTTAGCAAGAAATTGTCAAAAACGATCCAAACGTAGCCATATTCGAGTGGGAGCGATGGCTGCAGACGAAGGTAAGGTGAAAATTGAAAAGTTCGATGGTGCGAACTTTAGCTTTTGGAAGATACAGATTGAAGATTTTTTGTACCAGAAAAATCTATATCAACCTCTCTCAAGAAAGCAACCAGAGGGCATGAAGAATAAATACTGGGCTCTTCTCGACAGACAAGCCCTCGGAGTTATTCGATTGACGTTATCCCGAAATGTTGCTTTCAACATAGCAAAGGAAAAGACCACGACGGGTCTTATGGCGGCTCTCTCCAGTATGTATGAGAAGTCATCGGCCTCAAACAAAGTTCACTTGATGAGGCGATTATTCAATTTGCGGATGGCGGAAGGGGCATCAGTGGCTCAACACCTAAATGAACTCAACACTATCACAACTCAGTTGAGTTCCGTGGAAATTGAGTTCGATGATGAAGTTCGAGCTTTAATTCTCTTATCATCTCTACCAAATAGTTGGAATGCTACTATTACAGCAGTCAGCAGCTCGTCGGGAAACAACAAATTAAAATTTGACGATGTTCGGGATCTGGTATTGAGCGAAGAAATTCAACGGAGAGAATCGGGTGAAGCATCAACCTCCTCAGCCTTGCACACGGAGTCTAGAGGGAGAACTTCAGAAAGAAATTCAAATTGTGGCAGATCCAAATCCATAAGAGGAAAATCAAGAACGGGAAAGAAAGATTTTACCTGTTATAACTGCGGCAAGAAGGGTCACTTTAAAAAAGATTGTCGAGCACCGAAGAAAAATACCGGCGTACAGGAATTGACCAACGTGACAGAGGAGACAGTTGATGCCATGATTCTAAGCGTCAACAGTCCGATTGAATCATGGATCTTGGATTCAGGGGCATCTTTTCACTCCACCCCATGCCGAAAAATTATGGAGAACTATGTCAGTGGTGATTTTGGGAAGGTTCATCTAGCTGATAATGAAACCTTGAAGATTGTCGGAAAAGGAGACATCCGACTAAAGCTGCCAAACCATACCACCTGGAAGCTGACAGGAGTGAGACATTTTCCTGGTCTCAAAAGAAATTTGATTTCTGTAGGACAGGTTGATGGAGAAGGTTATAGTACAACCTTTTCAGGCTGTGAATGGAAGATTACCAAAGGAGCACTTGTCATTGCTCGTGGTAAGAAGATTGGTACTCTCTATGTAACCTCAAACTTAGAGAATATCATTATTGCAGCAGATGCTGATGGAAAATTAAACCTATGGCACCAAAGGCTTGGCCATATGAGCGAGAAAGGGATGAAAACACTTTTGTCAAAAGGGAAGCTGCCGGATCTAAAGAGTGTAGATATCGGACTATGCGAGGATTGCATCTTTGGCAAACAAAAGAAAGTCAGGTTTGCAAAGATTGGCAAGACACCCAAGGCAGAAAAGTTAGAGTTGGTTCATACTGATGTATGGGGACCATCTCCAGTTCCATCCCTTGTAGGCTCATTATATTATGTCACCTTCATCGATGATTCTACAAGGAAGGTGTGGGTTTATTTTCTGAAGAAGAAATCAGAAGTCTTTGATACCTTCAAAAAAATGGAAAGTCGTGGTGGAAAATGAGACTGGTTTGAAAGTCAAGCGGTTGAGGTATGATAATGGAGGAGAGTATAAAAATAGAAGATTCAGAGATTTCTGCACAAATAATGGGATAAAGATGGAGACAACAGCTCCCATGACACCGCAGCAGAATGGCGTAGCAGAGCACATGAACAGAACTTTGAATGAACATACCAGAAGCACGAGGATACATGCCAGACTGCCCAAATTTCTATGGGCTGAAGCTATCAACACTGCAGCTTACCTGATCAACCGTGGGCCCTCAGTTCCTTTGAATGGCAGAATAACAGAGGAAGTTTGGAGCAAGAAAGAAATAAACCTTTCACACTTAAGAGTGTTTGGTTGTATTTTTTATGTACACATAGATTATGCTGAAAGAAGTAAACTTGATTCCAAGTCCAACAAATGTGTCTTTGTTGGTTATGGTGGTGATGAGTTCGGTTACCGGTTTTGGGACTACGGAAATCGAAAGATCATCAGAAGCAGAGATGTCATTTTCAATGAGAATGTGATGTACAAAGACATGTCAATTTTAGAATCAAGTAGCTCCAATACCGAAGCTGAAACAACGAAATTTGCTGAGTTCGAGGAGATTTCTAGAAATGATGTTCAAATCAATCCTGAAGCAGTTCAAGAAGAACCAGGCACACCAGAACTGAGACGCTCCTCCAAAATTCCTAAACCTACCCAACGGTATTCTCCATCTTTGCACTATTTGTTGCTGACTGACAATGGTGAACCAGAGTGCTATGATGAAGCAATGCAAGTGGGAGTTTTCCATGAAAGATGAGATGGACTCGCTTATGTCAAATCAGACGTGGGAATTATCTGAATTACCACCAGGCAAGAAAGCACTCCATAACAAGTGGATTTACAGGATCAAAGAAAAACACGATGGGAGCAAACGCTACAAAGCAAGATTGGTTGTCAAAGGTTTTCAGCAAAAAGAAGGTATTTACTACAATGAAATTTTCTCTTCAGTTGTGAAACTGTATACAATCAGACTAGTGTTGAAAATTGTAGCTGCGGAGAATTTACATCTTGAGCAGTTAGATGTAAAGACAGCTTTCCTTCATGGTGATTTGGAGGAAGAAATCTATACGAGGCAGCCAGAAGGCTTCATAGAGGCAAACAAGAAAAACCTGGTATGCAGGTTGAAGAAGAGCTTGTATGGTTTAAAACAAGCTCCTAGACAGTGGTACAAAAAGTTCGATAGTTTCATGAGTAGCAGTGGTTTTACCAGATGCCAAGCATATCATTGTTGCTACATCAAGAGGTTCAACAAAAGCTTCATTATTTTATTATTGTACGTTGATGACATGCTCGTTGCAGGTTCAGACATGTAAGAGATTATAAACTTGAAACAAAAATTGTTGAAGCGGTTTGCTATGAAGGATATGGGTGCTGCGAAGCAGATTCTTGGGATGAGGTCTAAGAGAGACACAAAGTCAGGGACTTTGATGTTATCACAGGCTGAGTACATCAACAAAGTACTCTACATGTTCAACATACAAGATGCTAAACCAGTAAGTACACCTTTAGGTGTTCATTTTAAACTCTCCAAAGAACAATCACCAAAGACGGAAATGTTTCTCAACTACAGAAGATAATTGCTCTTTCCACAGCTGAAGCAGAATATGTCGTTGTTACGGAAGCTAGCAAGGAGATGGTCTGGCTCCAAAGTTTCTTGGAAGAGTTAGGCAAGAAACAAGAAAACAATGTCTTGTATTGCGACAGTCAAAGTGCTATCCATCTAGCAAATAATCCGTCTTTTCATTCCATGATGAAGCACATACAATTGCGATATCATTTTATCCGGTCTCTTCTGGAAGATGGAATTTTGAAACTTGAAAAGATTAGGGGAGCTCAAAATCCGGCAGACATGTTGACAAAAACGGTGACTACAGATAAACTGAAGTTGTGTTCAGCTTCAGTTGGCATGCTAGATTAAAAAACCAGAAATGCTGCTGCATTGATCAAGGTATGAAGACAGATTAAAATCGATCTTCAAGTGAGAGATTGTTTAACTTTCAACAGAACATGGGTTGCTTGAAATTAACAGCAAGCAGTCAGCTGCTTGAAAAAATTGGGGATGCTAAATTTTTTATTATTTTGTAATAGGAATAATTACAAAATTGAGTCATTGAACTTTAGGGTATTTTCAAAGATTAGTCCCTAAGCTTCAACTATAAATACCCTAGCTCATTTAGCTTCAAAATCATCCCAAATCATCCCAAATAATTCTTTCTCCAAATACTAGAGAGTTTTATTATGAGTAGTGAGTGTTTTGTAAACACCTGTAAATTTTCTCTCTTAGTAAAAGATCTGCAACAGTCCGGAGAAGTAGGCAAAATTGGATGAACTTCGTTATCAATTTCGGGTATTATTTTTCCTTTTTATTTCGCTTTCTCACTAATCTGGTTATAGAAAAATTACTCGTACTTATTTATTTCCCAACACCAACGAAGAGCAAATTCAAAGGAGGAAGTTGGGGTTTTCCGACTGAAATGTTGCGTATGCCCCAACTCGGAGTACAAATCGGAGGGAGAGCAGTCACGATGGTTCAAGGAAATGACGATTTGATGTAGTGATATTAAGAACCCTAAGTGGCGCGTCTCAAATTTGGTCCTCGTCACGTCCAAGTCCCTCCGCCGCCATTGCATGAGTCGTTTTCTTGTCATTTCTAGGGGTGAAACTTAATCGACGTACAATGAATTTTTTCGAGATGTCCTAGGTAATCTGTCGAATTTCTGTTAAGTCTTCTTCTTCATATTTAAGCTTAGCTTTCTACATTAACAAATTGGAACTCCAGATCACCAGCAAACAGGAAACCTTAATTTTTAGAACGGAGTTAATATAAATTAATCATAAGAATATGTCATGTGATGACCATCTATATCATTAGAAGATTATTATTATTTGATAATTTAGGGTAATTATCAGTTCAAATATAATCTTCAACTGTTTGACACTGGATGCTCACACCCCTTATATTTATGATACTTTAATTTAAAATTTTAATAAATAACAACCATTCATTTACTATCGAGATTGCTTAAAAATCATATTTAAAATAAAAATTTCATAAACTCGACTCATATAAATTGAAAAAAACAACTCATCAAGTAGTTTTAGCGGTTAAAGAGAGTGTTATTCTCTCTAGAGCTCATGTATGAGCAACAATATTTATAGGCTGTGATGCATTACCCGTAATTAAAAAGATTATGTATAAATATTATTTTATAATTAATTCATACTATTTTAAAAATTACTAAAAGAATTATATATTTAAATTTTACTTTACTATTCAAATATTTTCATATATTTATTTACAAGGAAATCAATTAATATCCTATATTTAAGTTGTGAATTAAATGTTACATACCCATATTCCGGTATAATTTTACATATGGAAAGTTTATTATAAAAACAATAGTATTTTCAAATTGTAAAAACGGAAAGCCTATCTTCCAGCAAAGATAATATTTCAGTAAGATTATTACCAGGTTTGGAAACCACGAATGACGGTTTCATGTTTATCCCCTTTGGAGTTTCCTTTTATGTGCGATTCTCTTTAAAAGTGCATACTGTATGAACAAACTCGTTTTTGTTCTTAGTTTTCGTTGAGAGAGAGAAGAATGGTGGAAGGTGGTATTGTGAAACCAGACAGGACAGAGTTCAACGACTGCTGGAAAACAACATGGGAGACACCTTATATTATGCGTCTTGCACTTTCGGCTGGGATTGGAGGGCTGCTCTTTGGCTACGATACAGGTAAATATTCGAGTCAGATCGTGTCAAGTCAGACCCTGAAACGAGAGTAAACGTTTCTTTATCCACAAGATTTAAACTGAGACTTTAAGAATATGATATTAAAAGCCATTGTATTTGTTGGGTGTACTCTAGGGGTTATCTCTGGTGCACTGCTTTATATCCGTGAGGAATTCCAAGAAGTTGAAAAGAAAACATGGCTACAGGTTTTGAATTTTTGAACCTTTTTTGTGTGTGCTGCGTTGATTTGATTATGGTTTCTTTGTTTCATTAATTCAACCAAGTGGTGGTTTTTTTTGCAGGAAGTCATAGTGAGTATGGCTGTAGCAGGTGCCATTTTCGGTGCTGCAATCGGAGGATGGATGAACGACTGGTTCGGGCGAAAGCTATCTATTTTGGTGGCCGATGCTTTCTTCTTTGTAGGTGCCATAGTCATGGCTTTGGCCCCAGCTCCATGGATGATCATTGTTGGAAGAATTTTTGTTGGTTTAGGAGTTGGAATGGCCTCAATGACTGCACCTCTTTATATCTCCGAAGCTTCACCGGCAAGAATTCGTGGTGCACTTGTTAGCACCAATGGTTTGCTTATCACAGGGGGGCAATTCCTTTCTTACCTAATCAATTTGGCTTTTACACATGTAAGTAATGATAATCACTGCACTTGAGACTTCTAAGTGCAAATATTATAACTACAATTGATTTTCATCGTCATCGTGTTTCAGGCTCCTGGAACTTGGCGTTGGATGCTCGGAGTTGCCGGATTGCCTGCGGTGGTTCAGTTTTTCTTGATGTTGTCACTGCCAGAGTCTCCTAGGTGGCTATACAGACGGGTTAGTGTCTTATCCAAATAAGTGACAGAGTTCAATGACATATTTAGTGCATCAACGACTTGAATATTACACTAAAATGTTTTGCAGAATAAAGTAGAAGAGGCAAGGTCCATCCTAGAGAAGATTTATCCGGCAGATGAAGTCGAAGCTGAACTAACCACATTGAAAAACTCCATCGAAGCCGAAGAAGCCGATGAGCAAACCATAGGAAACAACTTGACATCAAAGTTGAAAGGTGCACTCAGCAACGTTGTTGTCCGGAGGGGCCTATATGCTGGAGTAACAGTTCAAGTTGCCCAACAGTTTTCAGGCATCAACACAGTTATGTACTACAGTCCAACAATAGTTCAGTTAGCCGGATTTGCTTCTAACAAAACAGCATTGGCGCTTTCTTTGATCACATCCAGCCTCAATGCGATCGGTTCCATTGTTAGCATGGCTTTTGTCAACAGATATGGTAGGAGGAGAATGATGATCATCTCCATGTTTGGTATCATTACTTGCCTTGTGATTTTATCAGTTGTGTTCTTCCAAGCTGCCAGCCATGCTCCCAAAATTAGCCAATTTGAGTCCACACACTTCATTGCAAACGGTACGTGTCTGGATTACATTTCCGACCCTAATCCGACATCTTGGAACTGCATGTCTTGCTTGAAAGCCGATTGTGGGTTTTGTTCCAATGGAGCAAATGAAGTAAGTCCTTCGCTAACTGCATGAATGATGAATCCAACTTTAGTGAATAATCTTCTAAGTAGTCGGATCAATTTGTTCTTTTGTTCAGTATTCTCCAGGAGCATGCTTAGCAAAGACCACAGACCTGGAAAACTCATGCCACGGGCAACACCGTACTTGGTTCAAAGAAGGTTGCCCGAGCAAATTTGGGTTTGTAGCCGTCGTTTTCTTAGGACTGTACATCATTTCATTCTCGCCTGGTATGGGAACTGTCCCGTGGATCGTCAACTCGGAGATTTACCCATTGAAATACAGAGGAATCGGTGGAGGCATTGCTGCAGTTTTTAATTGGACCAGCAATCTCATTGTTAGCCTCACATTTTTAACACTAACGAAAGCTCTCGGTTCCTCCGGCACATTCCTCCTCTTTGCTGGCTATTGTGTCATCGGACTCGTTTTCATTTACTGGTTTGTGCCTGAAACCAAAGGGCTGCAATTTGAGGAAGTCGAGATGATGCTGAAGTCTGGTTTCAAGCCATTGGCATTCAAGAGCAAGAAAAATAGTCAACCAATCAACATAAGCTCGATTTGAAGCTAAATACGTTATTTAAGCTCAACTTGCTCAACTCAACCTTGTTCCATACAAACTTTTTAGTAAAATGTATACATTTGGATACTCAGCAAGTTTGATAACTCGAGCTCAACCAACTCGGAGAATCACCTAATCAAATTTGAATATTTTTAGAGTCAAACTTGAATAGTTTTACAAGCACAAGTGTCACATTAACACTGCACTCATTAACAATTACTCTACTAAAGTGCCTCTTATCATATTGGAAAAAAAGCAATGATTGCAAGTATTCTGTTTAACAAAACGTGCTTTAATATCTACAGAACATAAAACAAGATGGTGATGGAAATATATGTGTTTAAACTTGGGTCATGCCATTGATAATCTGGAGTTCTGTCAAGACTGAAGAAGACTTCTGATCGTGCTCGAAGGAATACTCTTTCTCATCTGTTTGAAAAATGGATCCAATCGGTAAACTTTTCGATCTGCTTCGGCTCTAAATATAAACCCCATGAGTCCATATGCAGGAATCAAAACAACAGATGAAGACATCGTTGAAATTTCTAAATGTCTCGCACAATAAAAGCTACCAACATTCTCATAAGATTAATACATGGACCCAAGTTGACCTTTCTATAAAATAAAATAAAAAACATGTTGATGGAATGTTTCAAAACATAAGTATGAATCAAAAGTTAGAGAATTGTCCAAGCTTTTTCTGCCAAATAGCAAAGTCCAGTTCTTAGGTCAATCGTATTGGACTTCCCAAGTCAACCTTTTGGGAGATCCGCAGTGAGAGAAGGATAAAAAAATACAAAGCTTCAAGGTTGCCTAAAACAAGGTTATAAAAAAGATTAAGTTAATTTCTTATCCAAAACAACATACAAGTCAACCAACAAAAGATTGAGCTCAGAAATAACACAAAAATACAAAACTCAACCTCAGTGAAGACATTTTGATTATAAAGCAAACTGAGTTGGTTACCTTCATAGATAAGAAGCCATTTAACTTCCTTAGCACTTTGTTCGTCTGTGTATATTTTCTTCATTTTGATTATAAGACCAATTTGAATCCTTTTGAAAGGAAATAATCCCTGAAAAAAAAAATGAACACAATGAACCACTGTTAAGCATTACCTCAGAGGGCATTGTGAGGTTAAACGCACTTGAAGTCTCGAATACATATTTTCCAAGTTGCTCAAACAGCAAAAGTGTCGATTGAACTAAGGAACAAGCAAGTTGGAGTTCCACCATTTTTACCTCTTCTTACAACTTTCGTTCTTCAGTTTCTCGAGTTCATTTTGCTTCTCGATTTGCAGTCTTTTCGGGTCATTGATTTGAATGAGGCTTCCTATATAAACCTCAGCACCAAATCTGCCCGGACTACCACCGATCTTCATACTCCGCATATTCTTCTTTTGTAGATCATACCAGACAAACTTTCGGCTATTAATCTCAAACAGAGCCTTATCAAGATCCTTGGAATAAGCTAATGGTTTTAGAAACGCTAAGGTGTTAATGGTTCTATTCCTTTGAACAGAAAGCAACAGAGTCCAAGATTCTTTTACCCTATATTCCTTCATAACCCAAACATCAATCTTCTCTTGGTTATAATTACAAACAGCACATAGGCGTCCATCCAAGACACCCACATCCAACAAATAGCTCTTATCAGCACAATTAGGTTGAGGTACTTCGATGAACTCCTCGGTTCCGAGATCAAAACCCACAATTGCATTCCTCATTCCGAATTCGATCCTCGGAGGCATCACCCAATGTAAAACCCCACCGGCCAGCACATCATAGCCTCGTCTATGCAAGAGATGGTAGAAAAATTGGAACATGAACCGAAGATAAAAAGGAAGCTTAGAGATTTTCCTCCAAAAGTCCTTTAAACTATAAACCTTAACCTCGTAATCAAAATAGTAACTTTCGTTCTCTTCATCGTCAGTTTTATTGAACGTCGCCATTCTCACGACCTTGTAATCGTTAGTTTTAACAGCCTGTCCGAACCCATAAAAAATATATCCAGATTTACAAGATTCACCTGACGGAGGATCGATTTCCGAAACGGGCAGTCGACGGAACTGCAGCGTGGACGGATTATAAAAGGCCAGATTTTTATCAGATAGACGGAATGCGAGGATTCCGTTACACGAACCAAACACTTCAGTCCCAGCTCCGCTACTCAAAGGGTAATCGAGAGGAACGGCGTTATCCAGGGAATCAAATTCCACGGAATAGAGATGCAAACCTTTGAGGAGGATGTTGAGATTCGATCTGGTCTTGATGGAACGGCTCAAATGATTCTTGATGAAATCAGGGTCGTCGATTAAAGAGCAGCATGTCTTCGACAAGGCCTTGAAACGCACCAATGACTTCACCGGGAGACGATTGAAGATATCGGTGATTACATCCATGGGAAGAGTAGACAATTTCAGGGTTTAGGGTTTACAGGGGTTTTCCTCGAGACTTTTGGGGTTTGTTTTTTTTGGGGGGGGGGGGGAAGAAAGAATCGATAACGTCGAGATGCGAACAGAGTGGAGTAACAGTAGTTGAACAAGTGGTTAAAGAAGGAAATGATAGCAATGGGTAATCTGCTTTATATGAAGACGTGTCCCACTGGAATCCCTTCAAATATTAAGGCAAAATGATACTTCGGCCCTTCGATGTTTATTTTTTTTTAAATTATTCTTTATTTGTTAGGTAATTTTAATTTTATTTAAAAAAATTAAATTATATCAATTTTTTAAATGATTCAAATCTTTATGTTTTAATATAAATATGGATTAAAACATTAAAATTTTAACAACATTAAACCTTTGTTCACACTAAACCTTTCATAATTTTGGGATCTCATGAAATCTTTGTTCACACTGTTAGTTTGTGTATGAGTGAGATATCTGTCGGCTTCGGCGACGACCATGACTACTATACCGGCCACGTTGGAGAGACCAGAATCTTCGGTTCCTTTGGAGAAAACATGTGTCGAAGAAGGGTAGAAACAAAGTGACACAGGAGTTACCCCATTCGATCATGGCCTTCATGTTACTATGCCTGAATCAGTGAGCCACAGTATTTCTACGAGTGACGCGACACAGGGGAATTCTGAAGACAGTAACAATGCAAATGTTTTACCAAAACCAATGGAAAGCAGCACTGCGAGATCATATGCAGCTACGTTGATTGGCGAGATTGTTAGCCAATCAAGCATTACTGTTTTGGGGGTGATGATGATGTTCTCCAGGAGCGGGGTGTACTGATAGTTGATAGAAGTGGTTCATATCCGGCCATCCGATTCTCTAATCGTGTCCATAATTCAATTGAATACAATATACGAAAGACGGTTATCGTTCGGCTCCTAAAACCATTGGATACAAGGCTCTGCTGAATAAACTTAAATTACTCTGGTAACCTCGGGAGCCATTTCAAATAGTTGATCTTGGTAATGATTATTTTCTAGTTCGATTGCAACAAGAAAGTGACTACACGAAAATTCTCATAGAAGGTTCTTGGGTGATTTTTTAGAGTTATCTGACAGTTCAGCCGTGGAGTAGGAATTTCAATACCTTGGATAGTAATCCTTCTTGGGTTATAATCTGGATTCGATTTCCGAGTCTTCCATATTGCTATTACACGAAATCATTATTTCGAAGGCTTGCGTCTGAGATTGAAAAAGTTATTAAGGTAAACTACAACATGAATGCTGGAGAACGGGACAAATTTGCACGCCTTGCGGTTATTGTTGACCTTAATAAATCACATTTGCTGTGCATTGAAATTGACGGATTTGTGCAACATTTGGAATATGGACTACAACACATTTGCTACAAATGCGGGGTATATGGCCACTCTCAAAACTCATGCGGCATTAATCCGGATGTAAATGACAAGCTGAAAGAGAATGAAACTAACAGACTCCTCAAACGGTCGATAACACCCATAATGGCGAGGATCTTTATAGCTCGTGGATAGTTGCGACCAGCCGAAAAAACGACCTTAAAAAATGCAAGGAGACAAGATTGATGAAGGTGGTGTGCCTAATAAAATTTCTATGTCCAATTATGGAGTCCTAAATCAAATTAATGAAGAGGGTGATGGTGAAAATGCTAATCCTAATGTCCAAAGAAGTGGAAGTGGAAGCTGTTGCGGAAGACGGCTATCGGATAGAGCAAAATCGCAACTGATAATTTGAGAAAATAAAATTGAAGATAAAAGAGACACAAAATTTACGTGGAAACCCCCTAAATAATATAGGGTAAAAACCACGGGCAACGGTAGAAGAATTTCACTATGAGAAAATAGGAATTACAACCTCTCTCGATCGACCAAGGAGAAAATAATTATAATTCTCTCTTGATAAAAAGGAGAAAACAACTCTCAAGAAACTCTCTAATATTCTCTCTAGTATTGGAAGAAAGCTAGAATGCTTTGGGATGGTTTTGAAGCTAAATGAGCTAGAGTATTTATAGTTGAAACTAAAGGACTAATCTTGTAAATACCCTAAAAGTACAATGACTAAATTAACATTTTTACCATTTGAAAATTCAACATTTTCAAGCTTAATAATTTTGATAGCCGCCCATGTCATAGCCGCCCATGTTTTGTTTCATTTCAACAATCTTCCACTTGAAGATTTGATTGGAACAATCATATCTTCACATCATTCTTTCTACCTTGTACCTTCATGTTGCTTACGTCTCTGATAGGCCACAAGAGGATCGACACCAAGTAAATTTGTCGGCATTGATCGCCTTCGTCATGAAATCTGCTATGTTGTCTTTGGTATGGATCTTCTGTATATCTACTGTCCTTTCTTCCACCTTTTCACGAATGAAATGGTATTGAACTCGTATGTGCTTTGTCTTTGAATGAAATGCTAGATTCCTTGCTAAATGCAAGGCGCTTTGACTGTCACAAAACAGAGAGACATACTCTTGATTGTGCCCAAGCTCCTCCAATAGCATCTTCAACCAAATTGCTTCTTTACTGGCTTGTGTAGCTGCTACATATTCTGCCTCTGTTGTAGATGTAGCCACAACTGACTGCAATTTTGAAACCCAGCTTACAGCTCCACCAGCAACTTTGAACACATATCCTGTAGTAGATTTGCTTTTATCCAAATCCCCTGCATAGTCAGAATCTACATACCCATTGATTAGTAAATTTGATCCTCCGTAACATAATGCAATATTTGAGGTCCCTTTGATGTACTCAGGATCCTCTTCACTGTATTCCAATGCTCTTTGCCTGGATTCACCATGTACCGACTAACCACTCCCACTGCTTGTGCAATGTCTGGTCTTGTGCATATCATAGCGAATATTAAACTTCCCACTGCTGATGCATACGGTACTCGAGACATCTCCATCCTCTCTTCTTCACTGCTAGGACTCATACTGGAGGATAATTTGAAGTTAATAGGAAGAGGGGTAGAAATTGGCTTACAATCTTGCATGCTAAATCGTGACAAGATTTTCTTCAAGTAATTCTTTTGTGAAAGCCAAATCTTCCTATTACTTCTGTCTCGGTGAATTTGCATCCCTAGAATCTTGTTTGTTGATCCCAAGTCCTTCATTTCAAATTCCCTAGCCAGTTGTGCCTTCAATTCTTCAATATGATCTTTGTTGAGTCCTGCAACCAACATGTCATCCACATACAACAACAATATAACAAAATCGTTATTACCAGACCTCTTGAAATAAGCACAAGGGTCTGCATTAAGTCTGTTGTATCCAAGGTACATAATGAAGGAATCAAATCTCTTATACCAACACCTCGGCGCCTGCTTTAGACCGTATAGAGATTTGTTCAACCTGCAAACCAAGTTCTTCTTTTCTTTTTCTTCAAAACCTTCAGGCTGGAGCATGTAAATCTCTTCTTCAAGATTTCCATGAAGAAAAGTTGTTTTAACATCTAGCTGCTCTAGATGTAAGTTCAATGTAGCACACATTGCCAAAACTACTCGAACTGTTGTTAGTCGAACCACATGAGAAAATATTTCATTGAAATCAATACCTTCTTTTTGAGCATATCCTTTGACCACCAGTCTTGCACGATACCTCTCTACTTGATAATCACTATTTCGCTTGATTTTGAAGACTCATTTGTTACCAATTGGCTTCCTTCCTTGTGGTAGTGGCACAAGGTCCCATGTATTATTTTTATGAAGGGCTTCGATTTCTTCTTGCATCGCCATCATCCACAGTGAAGCATCTGAGCTGTTTATTGCCTCCTGAAATGTTGATGACTCACCGTCCTCTGTTAAAAGGCAGTATGCAATATTACCTTCTATAACATAATCTGAGTGCCAATTGGGACGTCTTCTCACATGATTTGATTGACGAGTTGTTGGAGCTTCAGAACTCTCTGGTTCTTGTTCATCATGTGCTGGTTCTACTTCAGAAGAATCTCCTTGTTCAACCTCCTTTTCCACATGTATCTGAGTAGTCTCTGACTTTTCAGCGCTATCATCCTCTTCTTTTCTTTGTAGTTTATCCTCTACAAAGATAACATCCCTGCTGATGATCACTTTACGGGTAGTGGGATCCCACAAGCGATACCCCTTTACTCCATCAGCATACCCCAAGAATTTGCATTTCCTGGATTTTGGATCCAGCTTTGAAATTTCTTGGGAGTTGTACATCACGTACACGACACTTCCAAATACATGGAGGTTTGAATAATCAGCTGGTTTACCAGTCCACATCTCCATTGGTGTCTTCAGCTCTAATGCAGTTGATGGAGCTCGATTCACCAAATAACAGGCGGTATTGACTGCTTCTGCCCAGAATGATTTTTCTAGGCCTGCATCTCTCAACATTGCTCTTGTTCTTTCTAACAAGGTTCTGTTCATCCGCTCTGCCACTCCATTTTGTTGAGGAGTGTTCGCCACTGTGAACTGTCTTTTGATGCCTTCTTTCCTGCAAAAGTCATCAAATTCTTCGCTTGTGTATTCTCCTCCATTATCTGTTCTGAAACACTTGATCTTATTTCCAGAATCAAGTTCCACCCGCGCTTTGAAGTTTTTGAAAGTTGAAAACACGTCTGACTTCTTTTTAATAGGGTACACCCAACATCTCCTGGAGTAGTCATCAATAAAAGAGACAAAGTATTTTGCTCCGCCAAGGGATGTAACCGGTGCTTGCCATACATCAGAGTGAACCAATTCTAGAACACTTTTGCCTCTAGAATTTGATGTGTTGAATTTCAACCGGTGCTGCTTACTTGTTATGCAGTGCTCACACAAAGTAAGTGATACCTTTGTTAAGCCTGGAAGTAGTTTTTGCTCCACAAGGACTTTCATTCCTTGTTCTGACATGTGTCCAAGTTTCTGATGTCATAGCATTGCAGAATCTGAACTACATGAGGCAACAGAGGATTCTGCTTCTAGCAAAGTCTCTCCCTTCAGCATGTACAAGTTTGCTGCTATCTTTTCGCCTTTCAGCGCCACAAGCGCTCCACGGAACACCTTCATGATTCCTTTTTGTGTCTCAATCTTCCTTGCATTATTATCCAACAATCCGTAGGAT